GTCAGCGTACGTCACCCCGGGGTTCCCCCGAGGCCCAGGCCTGCGGCGCGGCTGCGAAGTGCTGCTGGCGCCGTTAGCGCTCCGTAAAGGGAGCGAAAGTTGCGGGTGCAGAAATTAATGGAGGATCAGCTCAGAAGCTGGAACGCCTGCGGAATCACAGAATCACTTCGGTTGGAAGAGGCCTTTAAGGTCATCGGGTCCAACCGTTCCCCTAACCCTGCCATCCCACCACTAAGCCCTGGCCCTAAGCACCTCGGCTGCCCGGCTTTTAAATACCCCCGGGATGGGGACTCGACCACCTCCCTGGGCAGCCCATTCCAGAGCCTGCCCTCCCACCACTGAACCCTGTCCCTAAGCACCTCATCTGCCCAGCTTTTAAATACCCCCAGGGGTGGGGACTTGACCCCTTCCCTTGGCAGCCCATTCCAATGCTTGACAACCCCTTCTGTGAAGAAATTTTTCTTAATGTCCAACCTAAACCGTCCCTGGGGCAACTTCAGACCACTTCCCCTCATCCTATCATCTGTTACCAGGGAGAAGAGCCCGACCCCCGCCTCGCTGCAGCCTCCTGTCAGGCAGTTGTGGAGGGCGATCAGGTCTCCCCTAAGCCTCCTCCAGGCTGAACAACCCCAGTTCCCTCAGCCACTCCTCATCAGCCTTGTGCTCCAGACCCCTCACCAGCTTTGTTGCCCTTCTCTAGACATGTTCCAGCAAGGCAATGTCTTTCTTGTAGTGAGAGGCCCAAAACTGAACAGAGGATTCAAGGTGCAGCCTCACCAGCACCGAGCACAGGAGCACGATCACTTCCCTGCTCCTGCTGGCCACACTATTCCTGATACAAGCCAGGATGCCAGTGGCCTTCTTGGCCACCTGGGCACGCTGCTGGCTCATATTCAGCTGGCTGTCAACCAGTAAAGGTTCTCGGAAGGAGTAGGTCTGCGTTTAAATTTTGGTTCCATGCAGAGGCCTGGGTTGCTGAATAAATCCACATGAGCTTCCATCATCGTCAGCACAACGGTGCCGTGTAACTGTTGGAGCATTTTGCCTCTCTGCCCCCCTCACAGCGCAGACCCGGTAGCCCCGAGTACATCCACGACATCTCAGCTCTTCTGCCTCAATGGTCTCGTGAATAAAACCCCAGAAAGAAAAGTTGCTGCTTCGCAACCTGATTTTTGTTACTGAACTTTGCAGCCCGTTCCGCGCATACAAACGGCCCTTACAGTGGAGCCATAATGATTTTCAAAAGAGTAAACTTGCCAACAATGATGCCTTTTAGAATGAAATGAGGTGCCCGTAACCCCATCATAAGTGTACCCATGCGACTGTCTTAAACAGGAGTCACTAAACTGCCATGAATTCCCCATCTCCATCAACACCAGTGACACATCAGCATCTGCCAGCCTTTCCAGGGTTCACCTTTCCGGGGTTCCGGTTTTACCTTTCTGGGGTGGCTTTTTGGTTGATTCCGTTCCCCGTCAGCAGCAGCGTGTGACATTGCACGTTGCTTTCTCTGCCGTGCTGCTCCAATCACGCAATCTCCCCTGCCTCTAAAAGAGACAAATACTTCAGGTTTGGGTTATTTCAGGGTGCAAGCAGGGGTTTTGCTGTGTTCTAAGAGGAAGAGTGGTTCTCGTGGCTACTATTTGTATCTCGGTAGTAACCAGAGACCCCCGTCAGGCCTCTCCCTTTGTGCCGTGTTCAGGAGTGTGCAAAGATACCTCAAAATCTGCCTCCCTTTAAGACCTTTTAAGATCTGATGACCCTGCCTTCATGTCGTGGTTTAACCCCGGCTGGCAACTCAGCACCACGCAGCCGCTCGCTCACTCCCCCCCTCCCTCAGTGGGATGGGGGAGAGAATCGGGGAAAAATAAAAAAAAGTAAGACCCATGGGTTGAGATAGAGACAGTTTAATAAGAGAGAAGAGTAATGATAGTAATAATGGTAAGAGAATACACAGAATATACAAAACAACTGATGCTCAATGCAATTGCTCACCACCCGCCGACCGATGCCCAGCCCGTCCCGAGCAGCGATCACTGTCCGAGCCGCGATCACTCTGCCTGTGACCGACCGACCGACCGACCCCCCGAGCATGATGTCCTCTGGTCTGGAATAGCTCTTTGGTCAGTTTGGGTTAGCTGTGCTAGCTGTGCTGTACTCCCAGCTTGTTATGCCCCTGGCCGAGCAGGAGAAGCTCAAAAAGTCCTTGAGTAGTCTCAGCACTACTTGGCAACAACTAAAAGCATCAGTGTGTTATCAACATTCTTCTGGTACTAAATCCAAAACACAGCACTATGCTAGCTGCTGTGAAGAAAATTACCCCTGTCCCAGCCGAAACCAGGACACTTCATCATTTTCTGGAGAAGGAATTCCATCCAGCACACCAGGGAAAGCAAGGGAGCTTTTCCAGGCCCATAAGCAGAACACGCCGCTTCCCCCTCCAGGGGGATGCTCCCCTCACCCACCAGAGCTCTTTTAAGTCTACAGCTGGAGTTCGCTCCTTTCGCCCGGCCCGTGAGCCATCACCGCAGGCGTTTACGGAGCCTGAGGCCCCGAGGCGGGCCGCCTCCCGGCAGACGTTGGTCCCGCCCGGCCCCGGGCAGACGGG